GCCATGTCCTTTAAGAGTGTCTTCAGCATAGTGCTATCTGGTGGCCTCCCGATGTAATGAGTCATGTACAAAGAATATTACAATTTAAATTCTTTAAAACATAAAAGGTATCTATGGTCACAAATTAAATGTAAATCTATATGTCTATATTGAATTTCTATAAGTTATATCCTTATAACTATATTGATCTAGAAGTTTGTAAATTTACATATTGAAGATGGCAATAGGATGTACTTCCTCAATGCAGTGACACAATTTCACTCAGCCCTGTGAATTTCCTTGTGTCACCACTCATAGAGCCGGCCTTCTGAACTACAACTCGAAATTTTAACAATGTAGCATTATCATTTCTTGATGGAAGCAATTCATGATAGGATATGTTGTCTTGCGAAATCGAGCTTGCATCAAACCAAGCAGCAGGGAAAGAGATGCAAAGCGCACTGGGAATCCAGGAAGTTAATGAAAGTGATGGGCAGACAGAAGGCAGCACTCACTACATAAAAGGGATTTTTCAAGTAACCTTTGATTGCTTTATCAAAAACAACTCTAGTATATGTTCCTATTACAATGCTGATATAACAGGATGGTATATGCTGGGACTTTAGAACTCCTTTAATATACAATTGTCTGACCACATTTCCATGTACAGTTAGACACTTTATAAATACTATAGATATCCTTTTTTGGGGATGCTGGGGTTCACTTTATTTAAATACAAGGTATCTTTTGCAACTGTTTCCACACTCTGATCCACCTTTAACCCCCCCCGTTCACACTTCTCTCATCAGAGAGGTACTGCAGGGTGTGTTGTGGTGCACTGCTGTTGGGCAGCCGGTTAATTTCAATGCGCTGTGTACAGCAGCTAAATCACACTCAAAGAAGTACAAGCATCATTTGTTTAAATTACATTGCGCAACATTACATGGTAATGGGTTACCATGCAATGTGGTGCTATACAATGCACATGTGATGACTAGATGCACTGCGGTGCTATTAAAAAAATAATGGCACTACGGCGCACCTAACATGTTCCCGCATTGCAAAGATGTGAATAAAGTATTTTTTGGCCATACACTTGAAAAATTGTTGGCGAACTCTCCATCAACTTTCAACCACAGCAATCTTCTCTGCACAATCTCATTTGTTTCCCAGTTTTGAGAGACCTGCGAATCGAAACTGAAGAGCAAATCAATCAAAAACATTACAGTTCCAATCAAAATGCATTTATGATAATTGTCAATGGCAGTTTTCATAATCTGGTAACTTAGAGCTCTAAACATACCTACGTCATGACTGGTTGATTGCTGTGGTTGAAAGCTGATGAAAAGTTCTAAAATTGCCAACATAGTTTCCTATGTATATGGCCGAGCAGGAACAAAGGTTTTAACATTTCTGAATTGTTTCAGTTGTCAGGCTATACACAAACTCATTCATCAAAGTATCTGATGGAGGAAACAATCTCAGACAGGCCATGTTGCCTCACAGCTTTTAATCAAGTTCTTTTTAGTATTCCCCCATACTACAAATGAAAGCTCTGACTTATTACAGTGAGGAATACAGATTGACATGGTGATAAAGGGGGACAGGTAAAGGATTGGCATAAGCAATGTAACTTAATGCTTTTTACATAATTTATGCTATGACACAGGACATTGTGTGCAGGATAGCTACTATTTACCTGTATACTTAACTAAGCTTGTCATATAGATTTGTGTATGCAGTTCGCCATGGAGCTGTAGGTTCTGCCTACATTGACTTGTGTCAGCACATAAAGAACATACAGTATACCAAGCTGCATCTTATCGAGCCACATCTGTTATGATACACAAATTTACTGGTGTGTGTAAACCATAAAGCTGGGTATACACTGGTAGAGTTTTGTATGAACAATCATAGGAAAAAGCTCATCACAGCACTCGGAGGCTTGTAGAATGATGTTCAAAATGACAAAATCTTGTTTGAGTTTAGCATTTGATTTTGTATTGAAAGGAGATTCTTGAATGAAAAGCACATTCACAGTTATAATTTCCTTCGTGCAAGAAAATTTTTCCATTCTACGCCTTCCATTTTTTTTATCACTACAGTCGAAAACAATCTTCAATTTGACCCCATTAACTATTAAAAAATACATGAACATTCCCAAAAAGTTTTTTTTTAATTAAATTCTACTGGTGTATGGCTAGCTTTAGTGGTCCATCAGGAGTGGTCTCAGATTCCATACATTTCATGTGACACCATAAGACTTGACCTAGCACTACCAAATGGGTAATACAATATCATACCAGCCACCTGAATACAGGCTTCCCTGCAAACATGGCAGTTTAAGTATAAGCCACAGTCTTCCACAACATGGTAGCATCTCTATAATTATACAGTCTCTCTGTCACTTGCCTTGCTCTTTGACATAGCAGTCTTTATGTAGCTTGGCAGTATCTCTGTAACACAGCAGTTTCTGTCATATGTCAGCTCCCTTTTGTAACATGGCAGTCTCATGTTACATGGCAGGGGTAAAAGCAGGTTTTACTAGGGTTGCGGGTGCAAACTCAGGGTTGGGTCAAGTTAAGGGTACAAGGTGTTCTAAAAAGTGGATTGCAGAGTATGGGTAGCAGGTGTTCCTAGGTTTGCGGGTGCAAGTTATGGGTTGAGTCTAAATTGAGGGTACATGCTTTTCTCAAGAGTGGATTGCAGAGTATGGGTAGCAGATTTCCCTAGGGTTGTGGGTGCAAGTTCTGTGTTGACTCTAGTTGAGGGCACATGCTTTTCTCAAGAGTGGATTACAGAGTATGGGTAGCAGGTTTTCCTAGGGTTGTGGGTGCAAGTTCTGGGTTGAATTTAGTTGAGGGTACATGCTTTTCTCAAGAGTGGATTGCAGAGTATGGGTAGCAGGTTTTCCTAGGGTTGTGGGTGCAAGTTCTGGGTTGAGTCTAGTTGAGGGTACATGCTTTTCTCAAGAGTGGATCGCAGAGTATGGGTAGCAGGTTTTCCTAGGGTTGTGGGTGCAAGTTCTGGGTTGAGTCTAGTTGAGGGTACAAGCTTTTCTCAAGAGTGGATTGCAGAATATGGGTAGCAGGTTTTCCAAGGGGTGCGGGTGCAAGTTCTGGGTTGAGTCTAGTTGAGGGTACAAGTTTTTCTCAAGAGTAGATTGCAGAGTATGGGTAGCAGGTTTTCCTAGGGTTGCGGGTGCAAGTTCTGGGTTGAGTCAAGTTGAGGGTACAAGCTTTTCTCAAAAGTGCATTACAGGGTATTGACCTACAGAAACTGATTCTACTCTCTACCATGAGGATCAGATTAAGACACACTGTTCTTTTGTCCTTTTCATTTGCAACACTGGTTCTTGCCACAACCTGTCTGCTTTCACCAATACATTTGTCTACACAGCGGGCAATTCCAGTAAGATCTCACAGAGCTTTTGTGTTAAGCCACAGTCTGGGCAGTCTTTTGTCATGCATAACTAAAAATGTCAGCATACCTTTGAAATGCGCAATAAAGGATCAGCAGTGTAAAGAGGGTACCACTACTGGAAGTTGCATAAATCTATATCTTTGAGTTTTGATATAATAAATGAATACTGATACTACCCGTCTTCCAATTGTCTATGCAGGGAACATTTCTGAGAACAGGTACTGGATTATTTAACCCATGAGAGCTATCTGACGTTCATCCATAAGGTGGGTTGTCCCGTTCCAACTGTGTGTTATATTCATAGCATATCAAGCATTGCAGCAAGGAAAAAACAGTTTATAACCATCCACCATCAAACCATTTCAGAATCTTTTTTAACAGTATGAATTTTTAACTTCCACAGATATTGCTGAACAGCCAGTTTACCTTAACATCTTTTCATTGTTTAGCTCTTATGTCACAGCCACGTTGAAAGGTATCTTCATGGTACCAGTCAAGTCAGCAAATACTCATATACTTGGAAAAGGATGTCGTTTATAGTTTTATTGCACTAGATGTATAAATCTCGCTGTACCATTCTACTAAAATCCTTATCTGTCCATTGCAGTCTGATCCAGCCATACTACTAGCATAGTTAACATCAGTTGTAAGCATTTATACTCATTCTGGTCATTTAGCAAGACTCCGCACAGAATAATTCTAATTTGAGAATGAGAGTTACAATGTACCTGAATGTTCCCCAACCATGACATGTGTGTATATAACTATATATATGTTTTTCACTATACATGCAGTATACAAGTAGATGAGTGTAATTAATGTCCAACCTACAGCAGCCAATCATATCACCTAGATGCTGTGGGCTGTAGTACACTATTACTGTTCCTTAATAAATACATTCAAATGGCTTCTCATCTACGCAGACTGTACCAAGCTTACTCTATACACAAGGAATGCCTACTCAATGAAGCACTTTGAACAAGACTTGCATTAATGTCGGAATTTACTCTTACTTCACGGAACAACACTTGCCAAAGCTTCCAGTAATGAACACAACAAGAAGCATCTTGGGGTAGTGCCAGACCCTCTCTCATATTACATGTTGCCTTGCCAAGGGGCCCATTACGGTGCAGAGAAAGAGAGGAAGTGACCATCTCTTCCCCCAATTTCTACAGCATCAGTTGAATAACGTTCAGGTATAAAACTGGTGAGTTCCCCTAGCCTATATCACATCATCTATGATCATGATTAGCATCCTCCTAGATCACTCATTGCCCTTTGGTCCTGATAAACTGATGCTCTTTTCTGACATATTTGCTCTTAAATTTCTAACAAGCTTCCACACCTGTATCTTTATTCAACCTTACCAACTATGTAACTGTGTAACATTTATTTTCCTATAGCCTAATCATTTATATCTTGCAACAGAAGGTGACATTTTTAAAGCATGCCTTTTAAATACAACATAGTTTAATTTATAATTGTTTGCTTTGATCGGTTTCCTCTATTCCATCAATGTGGCCATTGTTAACCAGTTTGATCAGCATGTGAAGTTGCATTCAGTTTCCTAGATGTTTAACAGACCAAAAGGTACTCACCGTCTAAACTTGATAGTAGTTTTGTACTGTGTGGCTTTAATACAATCTTCTAGTAATTCCAGAGGACAGGATGAACAAAACCACTTGCTGGCTCCCCCTTGGATGTTACTTTGCCTTGATGCCACTAAACTGCTTTCTGTAGTGCTCTGACAGCAGGTGAATGTTTCACTGTGAATAAATAGAGGTGGAGCTAAACCAGAAGGACAGGTCCAGTGATACAGGGAGGGACACCTGCAGGGCGACACAAGCCCTCTACGCTGTGACTAGACAGGAGAGAATGTGTGTGTGCTTACTGCTGTTTATTTTCCACTTCACTGTGTATATTAAACCATCAGCTATTCTCACGGCTTACAAAAATATAAAAACCTCAAATATCCCACGCTTTCTGGTAATGACAAGGCTACCTGACCATGGTGATGATGGTGATCAGCTGCCACAGTGTAATATATTACATTATTATTATCATTAATGTTATTATTTTACTATATTATTATTATTATTTTCCACATTTCATTTTATTTGCTATCCTGATTAGGCCATTGTCACTTGGACAGGAAGGCGAGATAAATCTCCCCAGCAGAGACACGTACAGTGATAAAACAAACTGACACCGCTCTTAACCCTTTCCCACTCTATTATAATAGTGTTTTTATTGGTGAGATTTTTACTAATGTCATGTTTTTGTGAACAGGATTACAAGAACAGGAAATAAGAAATGTTCTTAAGGGTCACCTTACACATTACAATCTGACCATACAATCTTTAGCTCGCCACACTTGTTTGACTGCACACACACAATCAAATTGCCACACAATTTGACTGCATTGACTTTTTAGATCTATCAACAACTATAGTATGTAGTGCAAGGACATGCCTGATTGGATACAGATTGATTGGATGCTTTAGGTAGGGCCTCATATTACATAGATTTGGTAACTCTGAAACTCATTGTACAAAGATTGTATAGTCAGATTGTAACATGTATGGTAACCTTTTGTGAAATCAACTTTAGATTTACCAATGCTATGTAATATGAGGACTTACCAGGAAGTGGAACAAAGGCTTTTATTGCACAGCTTTTATTTTGCATATAACTTGAGGATGTTTAAGGCTCAGCATGCAGGTGCATGCACCTGGGATTTTTAGGTTTGAGTGTAAAGGTCTGCTTTAAAAAAAAGTTCTGACTGCAGTTCAACTCTTTAAAGCCCTCGGACTCACATATACGCTCCTGTGCAGTATATTCTCCTGATGCTTATTTGTGCATCCCAGCTACTTAAAAATACCCAATGCTACCAGGTGCTACCAGATTCACACAGCCTACCCGAGTGTCGCACAGCCCACCCGAGAGTCGCACAGCCCACCCGAGAGTCGCACAGCCAACCCAACTGTCAAGAGTCGCACAGCCCACACAAGAGACGCACAGCCCACCTTAGAGTTGCACAGCCCACACAGGCCACCTGGAGTCATCAGGGCGCCAACCCAGAACAGCACGGTGTATGTAGCTTCACATTATTTTGTATTGCTGTATAATGTATTGCTGGGATTTGATGTTCTCTATAGCTAGTCTCCTCACTCCCACCCCTGGCTGCCTCTCCTCGCTCTCTCCCCTATATTCTCCAAGAAAAAAATTGCCGCTTGCGGCGCTAGTGTGTTCGGATTTCACTTGAAGAAAAGGTGACAACCCTAGATGACCTGCATGTTGCGCCATGAAACAGTTAATTGTTGGCAGAGGCATACCTACAACAAATTGCACCCTGGCATTCCACCCAGTTCCTGGCAACCAGTGACATTACAGGTTGCCAGAAGCTGGGCGGGACCCCGGCCAGAGCATCCCTGGTTGCTAAGAGCCGGGCGGGAGATGTTTATGCGAGAGGGTGGGGACAGAAGGGAGACCCACGAATCAGCGCTCCCGCCTTCAAGTGGCGCCCAGGGCATGTGCCATGTCTTGGATACGCCACTGATTGGTGAAGGTACGAAGAAGGGACAAGACATGCCACTCAACATGAATCCCACCACAAAGTGTTTCCCCAGTTTTATATGAACGCTGAAAAAACCTTCAAACTTTTTAGCAGCAGTCATTCAAAGAGTAAAGCCTTGCTTAGTCTGATGTCACATGGGCCACTCTGTTGCTGGCGACACATTGCCACATTCTCCACTTATCTCTGTGGAATTACTGCCTCATTTGCCCTGAACGCTACCAAATATCCCCTGCTAGCAGAGGCAGCGAGGGAGCAATATCTTGCCAGTCTAGCTAGTGCAGGACAAATAAGAAGAGATTGGTGAGCGGCCACTTAGCAATCCTGATACTGCCGAGTTGTCCCCACCAGCATTATGATAGCCTGTATGATATCAGCCTTAGATGTGACATACAAGCTGACACATAAGGTGACTCCTCGTAGCATGCTGTATGTCCACATATTTGTGGATTCTACTGCTATTGTTATTTTTTTATATTTGGATGATGGAGAAAAGAAACATGTCCTTTACATGGAAACATTGAAGTCATTAGGTATTTGTCTTATGCTGTAAGGTTTTGGTTTCTCCTTACATACCCAAGGACTGAGTCTCTATGCAAATGTCCTTTGGAAAATGTTTCCATGTCCAAGCACAAGTAGAATCTGTTAGGGCTTATGTGAACTTAGGAAAATGTTTCCACTGCCCAATGTAGTCCAAATGAAAAGACAAGGCAAAAAGCCTTGCCTTATATAGGGCCTGGTCAGACCAATGCACTGCATTGATGTACATTGCATGAACTGCAGGCATTATTTTACCGCTACAACATGCTTTAACACATTGCAACACGCTGAAGTGCATAGAATTTACATAGAGGTAAAAATAACCCCCCCCCTTCCCAAACACTGCAATGTGTTATAGAAATGCATCACAGCACAGCAATGCACCTTCAATGCACCTACCGCAAGGCAACGTACACACGTTATGTGCTATGCGTTGCCATGCTGTGTGGTGTGAACCAACACTTACTGGTCACAGCAACACAATTCAAGTTGCTGCATTTTCTGTAATGTACAATCAATGAATAGAAGATGAATCCAACAGACAGAGGAAGACATTTAGGTGAGTGGATGGAGCTGGGATCTCAAGTGCAGAGATCACTGCCAAGTCCTTGAGTGCAATGAGATCTGGGGATTTCAATACCAACACCAAAAAAAATCCAAAACAGAAATATTACATAGTTAGTCAGGCTGAAAAAAGTCCATCGAGTTATTAGCTCTGGATGAGTTTAACTGCCTCCGGGCCGGCCGTAGTAGAAAAATGGCCGGCCCGGAGCTCTCTAGATCTGAGCGGGCAACTTTAGACGTCCGCTCAGACACGCCCCCTCGCACGCGCAGCTCGACGCGCGCGAGTGGGAAATTGCCGTTTTTTAAAAACAGGCAGCGATGCCTGATACCATACAAGCGATCCGCCGACTTTAGAGCCGGCGGATCGCGTGTATGGGGTGCCGATCGGTGCCCCCCCCCCTCCGCGCCCCCCCCCCTCCGCGCCGTTGTCCCTCTGATCCTGGGCTCCGCTGTGCCCGGTGCAAGCCCGGGATCAGCATGTCCCCTGTGTCACAGGGGATCAGACGAGTTTTAAAGTCCCCACCCATACATACACGCATGCAAACATGCGTTGGGGGCGCATACGTGCAAAAAAGACGATTGCGCCCATTACGCCGCACATGTTACATATCGCCGCGAACCCAGTGGTGATTAAATACCACCAAAATTTAAAACTCCATTTAAAACCTGATATTGTTTTTGGTAGATTCCAAGAGGACATATTACCAAACACCTTCTTCTTTGTAGTATGTATCTCTACGTCCTTTCATGGTACCATGGCTAATCTGTCCTTCAGTCAAAGATGGATGTCTGAATAAAAGTGACACCCGAAGCGGGATGAACGGTCGACCTTTCGCCCCGCAAATGACAGCTGGGCGAAGCCAGCCGTAATTTTACGGTTGTCTCTGCCCAGTTGTAATGACAGATCAGCGTCCCCAAATGAATGGGTCCAGTTGCAGTAAGGTGGGGGTGCTCTCCGCACACCTTTCAGCAGTCCCGGCCAATACACGAAGATGGTGCTTGTAGTAACTCCACGGATGGCACCGTGCAAAACGAACAATTGAAGAAATAGGTCACCAGCACTGAAAGAGTTTAAAAATGAATAAGTCCTTTTTATTGGACCATGGTGTCACGACTAGAGCTGCAGCTAACGATTATTTTCAAAATCGATTAGTTAATCGATTATTAGGTTCGATTAATCGGTTAATCGGATAAACCATAAAATAGAGTTCAAAAAAAGGCTCCAGTGATGGGACTACTAGAGACAATCAAAAAGAGCCGACGGCTCTTTTTGATTGTCGTGACACCATGGTCCAATAAAAAGGACTTATTCATTTTTAAACTCTTTCAGTGCTGGTGACCTATTTCTTCAATTTTTCCCCAAATGAATGGGGACACTAAACGGCCATTAAACAACAACAACTAGGTGGCGCCAGCCATGATGTCACTGCCGGCTCTGCCCGGTTGTTATTCATTAATAATTATAATTTTTCAATTTATTTACATTTTAAAATTATTTTTCATCTTTTAAAAAAAACTATTTTCATTGATTTTCTATTCTGCTTGGTACCACAAGAGAATAGGGGCAAATGGCAGTGAGTGAGCTGCCGGAGCTTCGGCTCAGCCGATCCAGATGTTGGATCGGCTGAGTCAAAGTCCTTCTGCACTTCGGCTCAGCCAAACATGAAAAGCATGTTCGGCTGACTGACGTGCAGCCAAAGGCAATGTTCGGCTCACTTCCCTCTGGCTGCCATCGGCAGCTTTGTAAATAACCCCCTAAGTCTAGGACTGCAATGAGTAATACACAGCTAATACCAAATCTGTTTAACACAGTTTCTTGGAAGAGTAGTTTACTTTAGCTGACATTCACAGCCTCTTTGAAGTTTCCTCTGACATCTACACATGGTCAGTAATATAAGGACAGACTTACAGTATGTAAGCCATTTAGGTGCAGATACAAATAACACCTGCATAAAACCTACACAAATCCGAAGAGGTGAATGTTCATCATTCTGCATACTGAACACACCCATTAATGCTCATTTGGCATAGTTTACAGGTCCACTGGTAGATTTTTAGAGCACTCTGTTCTG